AGATAGATAGATAGATAGATAGATAGATAGATAGATAGATAGATAGATAGATAGATAGATAGATAGATAGATAGATAAATAGATAGATAGATAGATTCATGTTGTACTCACACAATAATTTGTCGTGTTATGCAATGACAAGCATGACCTTTATCAACGTATATGTTGTTACAGGTGTTACAGGGAGGCGGCCTGGAAGCGCCTACAAAACCGAAGGGAAGACCAAAGAAAAATTCGATTCCGCCGTCTGTTGTCGTTACCGTTACTGTTCCGTCCCCCGACACGAAATCGCCAGACAGCGCTCCACTACGGCGGGTGGTTTCTCCGGTTCAAGACGGGGAAGAGCAGAATGAGGATATATCGTCGGATTCCGACTTGGATGTTAGTCGGTGCTGATCAATGGCTATAAAGGGTTACCGTGGTTCAGTATGGCATTGCTAACGACCCCACCCCCCATGTGATTTCACGAGAAGGCATTATGTTTAACCACACATTTATAGTTGTGCACTGCGCGTACTTTCATAACACGCGTGCATACATAAGTGTGTAGTAATGTTGTTTCTTGCGCCCAGAGTAGATACGTTAAAATGTTTTTAATATTCGTCACGTGGTAATCGATTACGATAAATGTACTAGTGAGAATATTGTCAATATGTGTCATGAATGGTCTATACGTGCAGCATTTATATGAGTATTTTACGATTTTTAGAAGTTTGTAAATTTCGTTGACTACGTTCTCAATCGAAACAGTGCTTAATTAATGCATTTAAACTACTCTCCATGAGCTACTCTCCATGAGCTCCATTTAAACTACTCTACTTCATGAGCTATTATTGCAATAGTAGGTGTAGGACTCTTTCTTGTCGAAACATGTTTTAATGACCATTAATTCTGAAATTAAATAACGTTTTCACTAAGTATTCTCTGACGATGCAGACATGACTATGTTCATTACACTACACCGCGCAAATATATCGTAGATACCTACCCATAAACCCACACGCGCACGTTTGACGAACGTACGCATATAGACACATTTATTTTATGCTAGTATATCAGTAGCCTTATTCTCTATTTATAGCGCGAAAGACGACCCAAAATCGCGGCAGTGTGTGAAAATAACTGTTGCGTAACGTAACACATACGCGCCCAACACGCAACTATTAGGCACCGTGCCCATCACTATTATTACTATATTCCTGTTACTATTAGTAGTGATATAGTCATGGTAACTAATATTATTTTCCGCGATAAAGATCGCGATATAATAAGGTCTTTTGTTGGGGAATAAGAGAATCATATTCAAACAATTTGAATAACGCTACGAGTCATTGTAAAATATTAACCGTTTATATTTTATTAAATCATCACAATATTTGAAATTACGTGAACATATACCACGATGTTTACCACAGATGTTATACTATACAATAACAGGCCAATGCTATAGACACATTTAAAATCTGAATATAATAAGATATGCAGCTTATTGGAAAGCCACGTAGATTATTACGTTACAAACATATCACCAATAATATAATATAATATAATATATATAATAATGTATTATTAGCTCATGATGTCACTGCAATATTACATCATATAACATACATACATATATATATATATATATTATATTACATTATATTATATCATTTTATTTTTTCATTTTTTTTGTAAATATGAAATTACTAATCAAAACCTAATCACACTTCTTTTGATACAGCAATACACTTATTTCAGGATGGATGGATAATTAACATATATCCATAGACATATGCACGCCAATATTGGATTTAGTTTTACTTGAAGCACAGAAAAAAATGTATAGATAACGGTCACAAAATATATGAAACACAGTTAATTGTTTTTACTAATTCCATTATTGATCATCCTACTATAAAAATAAAATACCATTATTAAATTTTAATTTGATAATATAAATATAATTAATATAAATTTTAATCATTAAAAATAAAAAAAACATATTAGAGTCTCACATTGTGTATAACAGTACCTAATATATTATTATCATGCAAGAAAACTAGATAAACTCATGATTAGATTGCTGAAAATTTTATAAGTATTAACATAATGAGCACAAGTTACAGTAATCTCCCTGCGAGGCATAGAAACACACGTACACGCATGCACGCTCGTTCACCACACACCCATGCATAGAAACACACACGTACACGCATGCACGCTCGTTCACCACACACCCACGCATAGAAACACACACGTACACGCATGCACGCTCGTTCACCACACACCCATGCACAGAAACACACACGTACACGCATGCACGCTCGTTCACCACACACCCATGCACAGAAACACACACGTACAACTGTAAAAGTTATGGACGGATTTGTCATAAAATTTTCAGGATAGGTCAGAAATGGCTAACTTAGAATTGATGAGATTTTCGTGGTGATCCGGATCCAATTAATTAATAAAATAAAATTTTCAGGATAGTCAGAAATGGGGTAACTTAGAATTGATAGCATTTTGGTGGTGATCCGGATCCAATTATTATTTAATTTAATAATAAAAAAATTTCACAGTGGAGAATTGAGCTGTCTTGGTGGAGGTCTGTGCTCTCCGAGTGCTCTAGTTGATTCTCTATCTACCTTGTGGTTTTTTTTTAGTAAGGTCAAGAAACTTATAATTATAAGTGTAGGTGGTGGCAAAATTGCAAAATTGCGAGACAGCAAATAAGTATTGCAAGTACAAATGTGCGAGTACAGTGAATTGCAAGGACAGCGTAAAAAAAGCTATTGAATATTACTTCATTCCAAAGTTATCCTTCATTTAATCCGAATTGTACTTTAATCACACTGCAAGGCATTTTTGTATAATTGGTTGTCACATAGAGTACATGAGATTAAATTGCTTTGATTTTATCACCCGTACACTAGTAACCATGCAGGTTCTTCATGTGCCTGGGCTTACCATGTCCACTGGCACAGATGGTATGACCAAACCCTTATAATTTTCTCTATATCTACAAAGGTGGACTGGTGGGGAACTCTCAAAAATACGCTGAATTTACCATCATAGGAGTTGCTCTCTTGTCTTAAGTGCTGTCTTATATACCTGCTATTTAAGAAACGCCCATGTGGACACTACCTGTGAGAGTTGTTTGACTGTTATGAAATTTATTTGAGCATGTTTTGAAATCATTTATGAAACATTATGAGCAGACAAAATTTATGTCAGATCTTGTTATTTCAATAAAGTTTGATGCTAAATGTATCTTTACTCATATATTTATAGCTTGGTAGCCCTATGTGTAAGTTGAATTATTTGTTTTGTTATTGTATTTAAGAATATTGACATTGAAGAATGGATGCTGCAAGAAGATGGAAAGCCAGCATCGAACCCTTACCTATAACCTTCCTGTAAAAACCACACTTGGTGACAAGATTGCCCACACAAAAGATAACCAGGTATATTAGTCCGCAGAATAGGGCATATGGTTTGCATGGAGGTATATAGTTTTTCTTAGTTCGTTTTCTTATGTTCTTGCACCAAATAAGGCATTTCTAACAACTGGCAGTTGCTCAGTTGTGGGGAATTTATTTAATGTAGATTTATCCAAAACCGCATCATAAAAAATTGAATTTGGATTAAATAAAGCTTAGTGTCCAATAATGAGATGCCAATGCATGTAAAAATTATATATACCATCATTTACAGATGCATTTGACATTTTGAAATAGTTGTAGACTAATACAAGCATAAACGTCTGTGATTAGGCATAAAAATTGTTTTTATTTACCGCAAAACCTTCCCTTTATGTTAAACACGCAAAATCCACAAAATGAGTTTTATAGGTTACCTACAATTTACATTTTTCTGTACAATTTCAAAACAAAATCAGTTGGCTTTAATCGTCCTCCTCCTCTTCCTCGTCATCAAAGGCTTCGTGTTGGACGACTCTAGTTTGTTCATTACAACATGCAGCACTGCCCTGACAATTGCAAAACCTGCTACACGCCAGCTACCAATGTTACAACCACAGCCCTTGGACGTGCATGGACTCTCCGAAGAACAAGAACACTTGATGAGCTTGAGTATGTAATCTGGTGCTGGGGGAGTCGTAACTAGGAGTGACAGGCTGTAGGGACTTAGTTTCCTCATCCCTTACCCAGCCATATTCTGTGGGATCAAGGTCTGGAGCTCTTGTAGGGCATGTCTCCAGATGCAGCACTGATAGTGTGTTCTTTTGACATTTTCTTAGAATGCTTCATTGGTGGGTGGCAGAGTGCACAGCTTCGGTGTACCGATTGCTCCTTTTCTCCTGTCTTTGTTTTCAAAGCTTTAATTGCTTGACTCGGTCATGGATGTTGCATCATGCATTTGTAGCATGCTGAGACAAAAAGCTGTGGACTGGAGCAACACATCATTAAAGTCAGCAGTCTGATTCCAAGGAGCCTCAAGCTGCATTTCCCTCCTCAAAGAGTTTTCA